ACCGTCACTTTAACTTAAACAAACGCTATAATTCACAACGAACGAACGATTCACGCGCTTGACTCAATTGTCGTCTCTATCTCTGTCTGCTATTCAATTCCATCCCATTGTTGCCGTCACTTCTTGGCGGTCTTATATACAAGAATACTGCACAACTAGTAAACACTCGAGGCTTCACGAAGGGACATTAATTTTCTAGAAGCTCATGACGTGTTACTAGAGTCACGTGACTCCCGCTGTCGTAACACTATTTTACTTGGCTTAGTCACGGGTTACTAACGAGAATGCTGTTTTCCATTATTAATATAATCCACAGAAGTGGATTGAAATAATAACTAAAGTCTTAGAATTTTATTTATTCATAAAAAGTTGCTAAAATAAATAATTATAATAAAAGACATTAGAATGACGAGCAAAGCAAAATACTGGCACCATCTTGTTAAAAAATACGAAAAACTTATGTGCCTGTCATGCAGTATCTCTGATTCGTAATTATGCTGATTTATTCTCACTCTACATGCTAAAGGTTATAATGTTATATAAATATCCGTACAGGTTTTTAACATATTGAAACTTATCTTTAACCGTGTTAGTGCTAAATTTATATTCAATAATTTCTTAGTACTCAATAGGCGACTGAAATCTTGCAGTTACAAATATTCCAAAATTATATATATATTTTACTCAAGCAATGTAGAATACAATAATTAGATATTATAACCTCAACAAATATATGCAATCCAATTAGATCAAGGAAATATTTCAAACGGAAAAAAACAATATCCTGATTTAAAGATTGGTGATTCCAGTAATACAGGATATTCTATAAGTTGGTGAAATTGTTTTCTGAAATCTAAGTTTTTACAAAATGCTTGAGGATTTTAGATATCTTTATTGGATAAGTATGTCTATTGTTGTGTGTCAAAATGATATCAGTCAAGTGACCTTTTTTTTTCGTTGGTCGGAAAAACTAGAACAATTTATTCTATTCATTAGAGGGCGTGATTACGTGCCCTACATATATGAATGTGTCTAGCTATAAATATAGGATAGGTAGTATAAAGTAGGTATAACTATAACGATACGTATTAAAGAACATACGTACGAGAAAGTTTATATAGTTCATAAACTTGAGTTTACAGTTTATAAATGGAAAAATAAGTGTTCGGGATAATTACGAAAAATGGAAGATATAAACACAGATACGACAAGTTCTAAACAATCAAGGTTTCAGGTAGACAAAGTTGATTTTGTCGGTGAAAAGTCAGTTGTTAATTCAGAAGATTATACAGACGAACTCCACTATCATGGATCTTCAACACTTCATTCAGCATCAGGAAATTCAAATACATATGAAAATACACAAAATATCAGAAGTTTGCGCCATTATACAAGGGAAGCTCTACCAAACGTTGACTACTATCGAAATATCATGTCCGTTCATGGTTACTTATACCGTCCAACTCTGGATGAACTCCATAATGTTACTCATCGCCACCAGCAGCCAGAAAGAGGAGAAAAGGTAACATTTTAAGCAACGTTGATTTGAACATGTCAAAATCGTTTCGGTGTTAGATGTTAATTATATAAAACAATAATTTCTGAGACCAATTCTTTGTTGTTCTTGAACTTGGACACATTGTATTCAACTTCATTTCAACTTTCAAGAAAAATAAACCAAGAAGCATAACGTAAAGTGTAATGTTGTGTGTAGAAACCTTTTTTTAAATAAATGAACTGTTTTATTAGGACTTATGCAGTTAACTTAATTTTTATGTTTTTTGAATATTGCTTAGATTAATAAATATCAGGCACTTTTGGTGCAATAATGTATCTAGTAGTAATATACTACATTCTACAGTGCTGCATAATAAATTAGGTGGTTAAAATGCACCCAACTATGTTCATGACTTTCTTATTTCGGTAATCCAGGATATATCTTGGGTGATATATTCCAGTATTTTATATATATTTATAAATGAAAAATACTGTATAATAAGATAACAGTTTTTTATAACATGTAATATTTACCTTGGTGAAACATCAGTTACGTACCATTGTCAGGCTTATATAACTGGAAGTCTATGAGTTCTATGTGTCATAAAATTGTGAAACTGAAACTCAGTTTTACTAAACTTACAAAAGCTTTGAAGATGTAAATGTAACAGATTATGCATAAATATTACAAAATTATGCATAGTATGTAAGAGTTATGTGAAGGAAAGTAGATGAAGTGTATGATTGTCTTAATATGATTAATTAATTTGTAAAATGCCTAAAAAATGACAGTAAGAAAAAAAATGAACTATTCATTATTTATTTCATACTCTGTGATAAATGTAAGTTAGTACCATATAACACTAGGTTATCTGTATTTGTAAACTGATGTTTCTAAATACAAAATTACTCGTATCTAAGATAGCTTTTTAGCAATGCTGCTTGGTAATAGTGAGAAGAAGTTACGCAGGGAGGGAACTGCAAAATTAAAAATGTTTTCTGCTGGAATTTAAAATTTATGCATTCTTATAGGTATGATTAAATTCTATAAGAAATTGTGTGAAAGATTTAGACCTAAAGATAGTCATAACTAGTTTTTAATGCTATGCATATTATTATTCAAATTTTCTATAGCATGCACATGTGTAAGATGAACACAATATATACTTGATGATAAATTGAGGTAGATGCTATACATTTAGCTTGTAAAAAAATATAAATAATCACACTTTATTTGGTGAAATATGAGATCCTAGTTGTATTATTGAGTCCTGTAGGTATACAGAAAACAAAAATTCAGCTAGGAATGAGTAGAAACCAGGATTGTCTTAGTATCATGTACATATTTTTTTATCTGATGTTTTATAATAGCATTAACAAGATCTGACAATATAAAGTCAAGCACTTAAGGAATTAAACAGAAAATACATGTAGTACTAGGACAAGAGATGTGTAGTATCTTTCTAATTAAATGCTGGGTTCCAATTACAAAAAGTTTTAAAGCAATGACACAGCTACTTTGTACAAGGCTCTTGTGGGCCACATTTAGAGTATGTATTCCATTTTGGTCTTCTGATTATACTGTCTATTGGTAAAAGGTATATGTAATAGCTACCTTATGTAGATAAGTTAGACAAAAGAATTAAATGCTTCAGTTTGTGATAACTATGAAAAACAATAAAAATAATGTGATTTACTTAAAGAATCTAACTTTTTAAATATGTAGGCATATATAACTTAGTAGTTATTTTTAGTTTGGGAAAGCTAGAGTTGGCATAAGAAATGTAAATATCAAATTAAACTTCAAAAGTATTATATAGTAATGTAATACATTCTTCTACAGAATTAGAATGTAGAGAAAGTGTTCTATTATTCATTGTTTTATGTCTTCCCCATATTTTATAAAGTGTTTATATTTGGTATCTTTGCTTTAAGCTTATGTAAAGAAATATAGTCTGGTACAGTTACTGTAAGTTACATTGTGAGGATTATTTGTTAGCATTGAAATTATTAACATTGTAATATGTTCCATTTCAATAATCATACTGGTTTTGATTTTGAATCCAGGGTGCATAGGTATAGTTAATGGATATGTCAATATAAGATAGCTGATCAGGTACATGATTCTGTATATTATTGAATTCTAAGAACTTATGAGAAAAGAAGAAAGTATAAAAATATGTTAACCACATTATGTGCTATATACATTGTCGAAAAATCCTCTCATCCATTACAAGGGCTCATTAAGCCAACTGGAATAAGACAGATACAGTGGTGATTGAAACATTATTTATATTCTAAAATTGCATGAACAACTGTTATGCTGTGAAATAGATAAGTCAATGAAGTGTAATTTTTATCAATTTTTATACGAGTCATTTATAAATTAGAATAATGATTAGTAACATAATATTATTTATTTAGCACCCACTAGTATTAAGGATATTCACTGGCCAGATTAAATTTGGAGACATTCAAATATGTTGACAGCAGGATAAAACCTGCTGGCAGAATTTGATTTGTCCATTTCTATTTTCAAAGAGTGAAATACAGTCATGTGGGAAAAAGAAGCATATTTTTGTTCCATGTGACCAACCATGCAGGTATTACATGTTGGGGAATTTTGATTATTATATCTTTTTGAGTTACTTATATAATCTCACTGTCGATGGAGAAAGTATCTGTATTATCAATTTTTATTGGGGCATATACTTATTGGCTCAATGCATAACTGAACTTTGGCTACATATTGAATCAATGCGTTATGGCCCTGTTGGTTATCATTTGTAAGGACATAATGTATTGACTCAACTTGCTTGATTTTAGAAGCTTTCACCCACACAAGCTTTTGAGCATTCATCAAAAGTATGAGGCTTGATAAGAATTATAATGGATTTAGTTACTAATTCGACAACGTGTTGAGTCAATACATTATGACTCTGTTGGCTACTGATGTACAAGGCCATAATGCATTGTATATGCATCATGTGATTGAGAACAATGTTATCATTGGCTTGTTTGGCAATGCATTGAATCAATAAGTTATGGATCTTATTACTTGTAATGGATCTGAATCATTACTTAAACTGGTGGATCAACTGAATGAAACTTTCTATACATAAAGGACATGACAAGAAATACAAGAGACAATAGGAAGTATTGGAAATGACATAATAGTAATTATCTACAGCAACATAAGCATAAGTACAGGAGGATATGGTCATCACTCATTTGCTCACACTCAATTGCTATAGGATTAAGATTTTTTACAAGTTGATTATAAATCATAAAGTAAATTTGACAACTGGAAAAATAAAAAAATTTAAGACAAAAGAAGATAAGTAAAAAATAAGGCCATGTAAGTTGGTCATTAAATAGGCATTTTCACACTAGTTTCACTTATGTTTTTTCTCCCAATTTTCATCTTATTTTGGCCTCCTCTTCATCAAAATAAGCCAAAATTGACAAAATAATTGTAAAACATTTCTAGGGAACCATCTCCCAAATCTCTTGTTTCTGTTTTCTTTCAGTAGTTGCACTTCTGACAAGCTTAACTTACTTTAACTTTGGCACCTTCATATATATATACACACACACACATCACACACACACACACAGTGGTTCTAATGTCTAAAATTATCCACTTATATGAGAATATAATTATTATATTTTGTTTTTGAATTTAATTGTTCTACTTAAGGGGCCAATGACAGGTTTTGTGTTGAAGAGGGGAAGTCTATGAAATGTGTGACCTTTCAAATGAGCTCTTCTTTTTTACAAAAGAAAATGCTTTTAATATTACTAACACTGAGAATTCTATTAGAATTATTGGAATTGATCTGAATCATGTTGACATTAAATAAAAAGATTGAGGTTTTAAAGAATGTTGAAGACCAGATATACGAGTTTTTCTTTCATGTTTAGTGTGTCAATAAATAGTGGGTAGGTGTCTGAGGATTGGAGTTACTTATGTCACTCCTACTTTTCAAAATAATTGGCCAGTTAGTTTTACTTAGTCTGATAAGAGAAGGTTTGCAAAATCATTTAGTAAAATATAATTTTGATAAAAGACAGCCAACATGGATTTACTAAAGGGAAACTTTGTCTTACTAATTTTTTAACTTGTTTTATTTTTGAGGATGTTACTTGTTATCTGGATGATGGAACATTTTCATAAAGTTTGATAATGAGGAACCCACTTTGAGACTAATAATGGTTGGACATGGCTTGAATGGGTAATGAAGAAAAACTTTAATATAAGTTTAACATAATGGCAAATGTACAACGTTTTGACAAGGTTTTGTCATCATCAGGTACAATTAATTTACACTGACACGGATATATATATACAGTATTGAACAAAGAAGTCACATGACCGAAACTGTTGCAAAACTTGGAAGAGGTATCTAGGCACCCCGGGGTGTTGGTTTAGAGTAGGGTTGTTTTGTTCAATTAAGATGGATTCCTTGATTTTTCATTTGTTTATGTTGGGTTCTTTGTTTAAAATGACTGTGTTTGTAATAGATATACTATGGTTTTTGAGTTGCAATGGTGAAAAACATGGGATGGTTTTTTATTGTGTTCTGTCAATCTGGTTTCCAATTTTCTTCCTGTTTCTCCAATGTAGAATTCCGGGCAGTTATTGCATGTTATTTTGTAAATGACGTTGGTATTGTGTGACTCTAAATAATTTTTGTTTAGTAACAATTTTAATTTAGGGCCGGGTTTTTGTGAGAATTTGACGTTGACAGGAATATTGTGTTTAATGGCTAGTTTTGCCCAAGTGTGGATAATTCTTGAGCTGATTTCAGGAACAAAAAGTAAACTGCAGTGTAATGTACTGTTGTTGGATTTTTTAGTGTCAATTTTGTTCGTGAGTTGAGTTTTATTGTGGGGAATGTTGGAGAGTTTTTCAGCTATAGCTGGTGGGAATTTATTGGTTTGAAAGCATTCCTTTATGCACTTTTGGCCACCCAGCTTTCCTGTCATGTAGACACTATGTATGCTTGCCATTTTACACCTAGC